TGTGTTTATGCCAAGAGTTTCGCTTGATGGATAAAATCGTGGACCAAGACTATTATATGCAGATATGACAGCGTATGCGTACATGTTGTTATTTAAAAGTGTAATTCGCTACATATACAAGCATGGAAACTTGCATATTTTCAAATTATTACAACGCGATTTCAAATAACGACGATTCTTGAATTTCAGGGCGATATTGCGCCAGGAAACACTCTTGCACATACTTGGAGAACAATATTACAGGTCGTGGTGTGCGGTTGTGCTATTGTTTTTATTCAAAAGTATAGCGAAAAGAAGAAAGGTTATCATGAGGTTACTTTTGTTTGTCTGATATTTACAAAAACAAAATCATTGGCCGAATAACTGTAATTACTCAACTGGGACGTTGTATATATTGCCATGATGCCATATAAGGATACATGTACACCAGATTTTGATTCGACGTAAATTGTTTTTCAGATCTACGCTATATGTATAAACTACGTATGCACAGTCTCTGGTTATTATTAGTTACTAAATATCCATGGTGTAATGGTGGTAATGAAATCTCGTTTAAGGTAGGTAGGGTAATTAAAAGTGGGTGATTATTCGGTCTTATTCAGTGAAAGGGGTAAACTTGATTCAGTGAACATATGACGTTATGTTCCAGTTTGTTTGCGTAAATCTAGCGGTCGCCGTAATGGCATATGACGTATTTTACTCTAAAGAGGCAATGTTTTGCATAATTTTGAGTATTTTGAGAATATTTAGATTATTGTTTAATATGAAAATCTTGATAAATCATAGCAGTATTCGTTTTTACGTGTCGGAAAAACCCGGCACGCATGCGCATTGGAGTTTGTTAGTATCGCGTTGATCAAATATTGCTAAATTTGCTATAGCTAAACAAGAGATTTATTTTATGAAAACAAACACATACCCTAATTTGTTTAACAAGAGGCAATGTTGAAGAAAACTTGAAAACATGATCAAAAAGTTGTCTACATTGCCCCTGTAAAACACGTGGTACACACGTATTATACATAGAAGTACCTCAATTTCAACGATAGTTTTCTCCTAATAATTATAACGTTTTTTTGAGATGAAAAATATAATGAAATAGGCAACACAAGACGAAAACTTAATGTTACTCTTAGTCACCGACTGTATCTGCACATGCGTAGTTAGCATTCTTCAGTTCAATATCCGTGTTGCGTGACGGATACATCTTCGCAGGACCCTGCAAGGTTATCTAATTATGCCGTATTTCTAGCACACAAACAACGTTATTAACAGACGGCTTTTTTATAGGAGACTGTGCCGGGTCCCGTCGCTCAAACGTGCAATGTTTTTACCTCTTAACAATGCCATATCAGTGTAAAACCGACGTGCCGTGAAAGAATTGTCTGAACAGTGAGGAGTGATGCACGTCCTATCGATCGAATTACTCCCGGGGTACACGTAGGAGATGAGATGCCTTCGGCGGTACATGTCTGTACTACACTATAATATATGCTTACTAGTCCCTAGTGTTAGGTGCGATGTAGGAACGCATATCAATCGAGAACGAAAATGTGTAATACCTCTTTACTGGCAGAGAGAGTTGCGCAGTACACTAGCCCTATATACACTTTCTGTAACGATTTCCAATTTCAAACCCACTGTCGCAAATTTAGGTCGTATACTATGGGATACGCAAGTATTAGTATAATTGTAATTAATTCGTCGGTGTTTGAGTTAGTATTCAATTACTATAATTTGACATGTGCAGTCGGCGTGTATTATTTTTTATTAAGTTTGATACCTGTGGCCACGAGTCAGTTTATGAGTGCAAGGAATTACGTCCATAGTTTATGTATGCAGTAGTAAAATGTAGTTACCCAGCTCTCGTGTATTGCGCAGAGCTGAATATTCCGACAAGAAGAAGGCGAGAAATTGCCTTCATGATCACATGAAAGCTAACGTTAAAGCGCGGTGGTTGCCGCGTAGCGCGTGTTCGAATTTGATGTAAATAAATAATGGATTTTACACGCGTTGTATACGTCGCTACGAGTCCCATATCGAACGGGACCCGGCGCGACGACTGCCGCCCTTTAACATTTTCCTTGGTGTTTCTCGTTGTCCGAACACTGTGACCGTGGGACCTGTCGCCACAGTACGCCATCCCGCGTTCAGTGGAGGTCAGATCAAACTAACCGATGTCCGACT